CAGTAGGAAGTCTGCTTTGATACGCAACATAACACAATAAATCTACTTCTGTCTCACCCACACACACGTACATACCCTCTCAAGCACGCACACATGCACACACACACACACACACACACACATTTACACACACACACACACACAGATACTCATATGTGTGTGTACAATTATAAATGTCTTTTTAACATACACTATGCTTCGTGTGTTCGAAATATATTGTTTAAACATGTCTCTGGAAAAAAACATTTTATATCAAAATAATTTTTAAAAAAAATTTTAAACAGCAATACAGATCAATTAACAGTAATTAAATGTATAAATTGTAATGTATAAAACATACAACTTATTTAATATACGTTTAACCTTTTTTATTTATATAATACTTTTAATAATTTAACATAATTAAATATTTATATGTAATTTGGTTTGTCCCAAAATATACATACATACACGTATATTATTTTAAGCAAATTCCTTTCATATTGTCTGATAAGCGAAATAACATTATCATTGCAAGACGAAAGAAAATCACCATATTGATACATGTTTTTTTTTTACTTAGATAGGATTAAAAAAACATGAAACAATTGGGTGATTTTCTTTCCCCTTTCAATAATAATGTTACTAAGCTTATCAAACGATGTGAAATATTTTGCTTAAAATAAATAGGCAAAACTTGTCTATGTTATTTAATGCATATATATATATATATATATATATATATATATATATATATATATATATATATAAATAATATGTTGTATAAACATATATGTGTTTGTGTGTCTGTATTTGTGTGTGGGTGGGTGCGTGTGTGTATGTGTGTGTGTACACATAGAAGATGCAAATGTATGTATTCAGCTATGAATTCTTCCTCAAGTTATATAAAAAAACAAACTGCAAATAAGTATGTGTTATATTATGATAGACATCCTAAAAATCGATATTATTACCTTGGAATTTGTATTTCAACGTCTGAACAAAAAAAAAAGCAATACTCTCGATGTATTTCACTACATAGCTATAATACTTGGTATTTCGATAATATATAGATATATTTATCATCTTTACCTACTGTCTTTCTATGTATGTATGTATGTATGTATGAATGTATTGGGTGTGTGCGTATTTAAGCAATAAATGTTCTTTAAGACAACTATCATTAAAGACAACAGATATTTTGTAATGATTAATTTTATGGATCATCGTTCATCACATTAATCAGTATTAAGTATGGATTGTAACATTAATATATTCTCACCAACAATGCATAAATACTAGCAAAATAAAATGGTAAAAACAGACTTATATCGTCGAAGGGAAAAATTAATTTAAGGTCTTCGTCCATAAATAATTAAAATAAAAATTATAATTTAATATTCCGTATCCTTCAATATATATATATATATATATATATATATATATATATATATATATATATATATATATATATATTTGAATTTGAAAAAATACTTTTAAGTTGTGCTATATTTACAGGATAAAGCATTAATATCAGTAATAGAGTGTGTGTTAATATAAAAGTGAATATTAAATTCAACACTAGCCACGACAGGCTGTTTCATGCCAAAAGCAATCGTCATGTTGTTTCACTAAAACAACATATATATATATATATATATATATATATATATATATATATATATATATATATATATATGTGTGTGGGGGGGCATTCCCTGATGCATATGTGTAAATGGTAAAATATTCATTTATATAATATATTATATGTATATATATGTGTGTGTGTATGTGTGTGTGTATGTGTGTGTGTGTGTGTGTGTGTGTGTGTTTGCGTGTGTGTAAAATTCTCTGTTTTATATTGCATTTTACACATATCTTTGTTCATTTTCACGCTTCACTACACACTGATATTTCACAGGGGCAATTGTCCTTTGAAGTTTTCTCCTGTATATGTTTCTGTTATAGAATTCTAAAAAAAGCTAATTCAATGCAGTCTTACTTTGAATTCCTGATTGAAATAAAATTTCTCTTGCCTTCAATCTGCCTTTGTTAAACTATTTGAGCTTTCATGTTTTATTCTTTTTCATCTTTTCTCTTCTTTCCGCCTTTGAAATAAATACGAACTTTTTAAATATTTTGCCTGTAGAGCCACGTGCTTTTAATGTATTTTTTTTAAAAATTATTGATTACATGTACCATTGAATGTGTTCATGTATTTTAATCCTGAATTCTTGTCATAAAATCGAAGTCTTTTAATTTCTTTAATTTCTATATATCTGCCTCATTCTTTCTCTTATATATGTATATATTTATCTAGCTAGCTATGTATCTATAAAGATAGGTTTGTCCATCGATTGATACTTCATGTAACCAGCAGATCACTGTCTATATATGCTCCATTCAGGATATTAAACACTTAAAGACAAATTCAAACGCCTTTATTCTATCTATCTATCTATCTATCTATCTATCTATCTATCTATCTATCTATTACATTGTTTCTCCTTTCTCATCCTGAGTGTATCTGCCACTCTCTATATATCTTTCTATCTACCATCTATCTCTCTATCTCTCTCTCTCTCTCTCTCTCTATATATATATATATATATATATATATATATATATATATATATATTTTATCAATTAGAGGAGTAAACGATAATTATTTTCAGACACAAAATCATATATATATATATATATATATATATATATATATATATATATATTTATGTATATATTTATGCATATAAACAGGACTTTATCTTTCTATGTAGCTCGTGTGTGTATGTATATATATATATATATATATATATATATATATATATATATATAATTATGCATTTAATAAATATATATATATATATATATATATATATATATATATATATATATATATATATATAAACATACACACATTCAGACATAATAACATAAATATTTGCACATTTATATTCATACATATGTACATACATACATACATATAAGCCTGTATGTATATATGCATTAATATTTTGACAATTGATTTTCATTATATACATTTTGGGTATATTCTATTAAAAATTTGGCACGATTCTTTTTTTTCAAAAAAGGAAAGATCACCTTAACTGATAAGAGATAAAGGACAACAACCACTACTACCACCGCCACCTCCAAATACAGCAAAAACAGCCCTGCGTTTCTACTTAAAGAAAGAAATGAAGAAAAAGCGAAAAGGAAAAAAAAAGAAAGATACATAATGAAGGAAGGATGAAAAAGCAAATAAGTCGAAAAGAATGAATGAATGAATGATTGGAAGAAAGAAAGAAAGAAAGATAGGAAGGAAGAAAGAATGAAAAAGAGAATGAAAAAGCAAACAAGAAATGCAACAATAAAGAAAAAAAGAGAAAGCAAAGAAAAACGAAAGGGGAAAAAATAATCTCAAGCGAATAGAAAGAAAGAGCGAAAAAATGTAAGAAAATGCAAGAAAAACGACGAAAGAAAGAATGAAAGAAAAATAGAACAAACGTGCAAGAAAGAAAAAAATGAAGAAATAAATAAAGAAAGAAAAATAAAAGAAAGAACGGAAAAAAGGAAAGAAAGAAAATGCAAGCAAAAGGAAAAGAAAGAAAGCAAGAAAGAAAAAAATGAAGGAAAGGCAAAGAAGTTCGAAAAAATAATGAATTAAAGAAAGAAAATCAAGCAAAAAGAATGAAATTGAAGAAGGAAAGAATCAAAGAACGAGCAAACAAGAAAAAATAAAAAAATGAAGCAAAAATGAAATAAAGAAAGAAAAAAAAGAAAGAAGTAATAATGACATTAAAAGCAATCCCTAAGAGTGAATAAAAAAGACAGAGTGTTACTTACTTCACGGATGCGAATATTTACCGTCCATTAAATAATGAAGAATTCGAACATACTGAGGGTCTTTTTGTCGGGATTTGCATTTTGTAATTGTGACGGGTGTTTATGACGAAAAAAAAAAAAAAAAAAGAAAAAAAAAAGAAAAAAGAAAATTTCTCAAACGGAAAGCAACGTCGGTCACGTGATCAGCATGTTTCATAATAAGCTGACAGAATTCCACGCCTTTCGACGATTATCTGACATACATACGTCCATACATACATATAGATGGGTGGCAAGAACAGTGCAATAGTTGGAAAGCCTGCATCGAAGATCAGTCCACGATTATATTGTGATCGATTATTTGACTGGGTTCCCAAACACTGTAGTCCTGGGCTGAACTACACTGTGTTGAGTGAACATTTCAAATGGGCCTCACCGTGAGCAGTGGCTAGCAAGCTTGTAGCGTTAACAATTACTACTGCAGTGAGTCCATCCCACAATGTGGGGATAAATCGTAGAATTGTACCTAAAGCCCAAAATAAAGAATGGATTCTATAGTCCCAATATTCAACGAACGCTAATTGTTGGTCTCAAAATCACACACACATTATATATATATATATATATATATATATATATATATATATATATATATCATGGGATATATGTACAAACTTCTTTGTCTCTTACCTCTGTAACAATCAACCTTGAGTGTTTATTGTACCATGTAGAGGTGAACATCATTATATATATATATATATATATATATATATATATATATATATATATGCATATACATGTATGTATATATATATACATGTATATGCATATACATGTATATGCATATGCTATATATATATATTTTCCTGTATGTATATACATATATATATATATATATGTGTGTGAGTGTGTGTGTGTATGTGTGCATGTTTGAAGGTGTGTATGTGTGTATGTATGTGTAACTGTGTGTGTCCTTACATCTACGTATATTTGGTGGGGTGGGAGGTTTAATGAAATTTGAAAATGGAAAACCTCCCTAGAAAGGAGTTTCAACTTATCCCAGTACATCTTCAGACTAATAAAATTATAACTCTGGGGACTAAACGCGTTTCTAGAAAATTCTTATTTTTTTTTTGATGACACAACATTAGTCATATATATATATATATATATATATATATATATATATATATATACAGATCTGCCCATCATATATACTACATATTCAATTAAGATTTGTATATGAAATTTCCTATACTTTGGTTCCACCACACTAATATATATATATATATATATATATAGATACACCTAGTGAGCCAGACAAACCTACCTAGGTTTCACCTAAACGGATCGTCGGCAGAAGTCCATGTTTGTAGCTCTTTCTTTTTTTAAAACCTTTTTTTCCCTCGAGATTGATTTGATTAGCAAATCGAAAATTCGAGGGTTTTTCGAAACGAGTCTAGTTATCTATATATATATATATATATATATATATATATATATATATATATATATATATATGTTGATAGGGTGGAATGGATTTATAAAATATCCTTGTAGACATTTAACATGCCAAGTGATAATTGATTGAGTATGTATGTATGTATGTATAAATTATATATTATATATGATATATGGCCATTTCGCCCAGAATACGGTTGTGCTGACAAGTCTGTTTTGGGCCATATTTCATATTGGGTATTGAATTTTATCTACTTGCAATTCATATACGCTCTATCATAAATATATTGAGCTCTCTACGGTGGATCAGTTTTAATATTTTATATTACTAAGATTCACCCTTGAATACTAACCACGGATTTTGACCTATATGTATTAATAGCCTGGTAACTATGAATCTCTTTACTAAGCATCATCTACACATTGCAATGATTGGAGTAATTCAGATGCACATGCTGATGCCTGTGGTAATTTTGAATCTCGCGAAATAAATGGTGGTCATAAACAGTGTTCTGTATTTTGTGGATAGAAGGATTCAGTTTTGCACAAATAGTGTCATATTTTGTCTTTAGTAGGCTGTGAAATTAATAGCAAAATATTTCTCTTTCCATCCAGCTATTTTTAATCCTTGTATCTCAATAACTCTTCGTATTTCAGAGAGTCAGTTAAGTGCCATATGTGGCACACTCTCTGGCAATCATCTAGGCAGAATAATTTTGGTTGTCAACCTTGGATATAAGACCGAATCTATCCTGCTATTTAACCCATAACTGTGGGATAAGAGATGGATCCATACAATATTTATACGGGCGTGTTAAAAACTGGACCATTCAAGAAGCAGATTTGTTATCGGCTCTTGAACGTTTCAATATTGGGGGAAAATATATAACAAAGAGGAAGAAAGTTATCTTGTATTGTGGTCCGCTTTGTAGTCGCCAAATCGTAACAAATTTAGTCGGATCAAGTCTTAAAGGACGAAACAGGTCACAAGAAAACTGTTTCAACATTTTCCCCAATATCTATATATAAGAATATTAGTACGTACGTGAAAGTAATGGATTCGACTGGAATTCGAACTCGGGTCTCCGACTCCTCAATCCAAGCCGCTATCCAATGCTACATAGCTATCTAGTGAAGTCATTAACAACTAGATTATGTAGATAGAGCAACAAAAAAAAAAAAACGCTCGAAATGTTAATTAATATGAAAGGATAGTCCTAGTTGCAATCCTTGTTTCACGCTCAGACGACTTGAACGCCTTCATCAGAATGAATATATATATAGAGAGAGAAAAAGCAGATATATACATAGAGATCAAATATGGCTTGGAATTCAACAGAATGATAGGTGATACATGAGTTCTGTTTAAGCAATGAAAATAAGCAATGAAAAATAACACAAAAATTAAAATTATATTATTAATGAATATACATTTTTCCTCGCCAGTGGCACAACTGTAGATTTCATGCACCAAGCAATCGTCAGGTGCTGATTCAAAAATCCCCGTTGTGTAATTTAAATATCAATATTTGTACTCCACTGTTATTATATCTGAGCAGACAATTTATTTACCTGTGTTTGTTTGGGTATTAAAATCAAATCAAATATAATATATATATATATATATATATATATATATATATATATATATATATATATATATTCAAAAAAATAAATATATCAATATATAAAAGTTAAATATACATATACATATATATATATATAGAGAGAGAGATAATATATATATGACACACACACACACACACATATATATATATATATATATAACATTATATATATATATATATATATATAATTTATACTTTCAAATATGATACAAATGTACACACAATTACCATGACACGTCCACATATATAAAAATATTATATACATCCACATTTATATAATTACGCAAATGTGTACACATACATTCATGTGCGATATTATATATATATATATATATATATATATATATATATATATCTCTCTCTCTCTCTCTCTATATATATATATATATATGTGTGTGTGTGTGTGTGTGTGTATATATATATAAATATATATATATATATATATATATTTTATAATACACACACACACACATATATATATATATATAGATAGATAGATAGATAGATAGATAGATAGATATCTAAAACTGTAAGATAAATCAAATTGTAAAATTCTTAAAAACAGCTCAAAGTTGTTTGTGCGTGTTTGATTGCAGGGAATTTAATC